CCCCCCCCCCCTCGTCCCAATTCCCCGCCTGTCCTACTGTCCTAACCCAGCCTTCGTATTTCTCCTCCCTCACGCGGTCCCCCGTTTCGCAAATGTGAGGCGCGAAGGACACCGCCGACGGCCACCGAGTAACGGCTGCGGCGCTCACAGATTAAAACCCCATCAAGAAATGGAGCGAGCTCTCAAGGAGCTTCTGCACCTCGCGGTGCCCTTTCCTTTCGCCGCTATCGCAGTTCACTCCAGCACCCACCCAAACGCGGCAGCATCGCTTCGAAAATGGCCCGTCTTTCGTATAAGCAAGCCTCGCCTTCTCCTTGAGCCAGCGCTTCCGCAGCCTGAAGGTGATTCCCCTCCTCCTAAAGGGTTTAAACCCCTGATCCAGACCGGCAATGACTCCCTCGGCGAAAAAAAAGGGTACCTCATCTAGTCCTCCCGCCACCAAACGGGAGGCGTGCCCTAGGTGGATCTTCAGGCCCTGTTCTGACGGCTTCGACATGCATCGACGGCGGCATGTTCCTCTCTCGCGACGTCCTCCGGCTCCAGCATCGCACCACCACAGCTATCGTCCGTTCGATTGTGTCACCGGTCGTCCTTTCCGGTTCCGGCGGGGTCTGCAGCGGCGACGGCGGCTGGCCCTGCGGCCTTGACGAGCAGCCCGCTATCTGAAACAACGATGCCCCGGCTAAGCAAGCTGGATTCGACAAGCACAGGTCGCAGCAAAGGTCGGACGCAGCGTGGGTCAAAATCGGGGCGGAGGAGTAAGACCTCCCGCGTGGCGAGTATTTTTACATCCTTTTCGGCCACAAATAGAGACGATATGAGATACAACAACGGAGGAGAATCGATTTCAGCTGCGAAGGGCAGTGACAACAAGCAGACGAGCGTGTTGCCTCCTTCGTACGCCCGGCTGCTCACTGACAAAAAAGAGCCCCAAGAACACCCCGCAACAGTCTAAAGCTGTCAATGACTCCACGATTTTACAATAAGGAAACGCCACGGACCAAGAACAATCGCGGTCACCCCGGTGGTTCATTTCGTAGCGCCATGACCTGACGGATCGGACGTGAGTTTGAATTTCGGCGCGGTCACATGAGCTAACATTTTCTATTATCAAAGTTGGGTGGCAACGATAAATTCGTCGGTGCAAGTACACAAAACGATATCGGCTCCGCGGTCGACCGGAGCAAGGGCCGGCGGATGGAAAGCAAGTCCTGCGTGGTCTCTTCGTGTGAACTCCACCTGTGCTCTGGCTGGTACAGTACATCCAAACATGCCGCAAGGTGTACCGAATGGCGTCCAGAAATAAACGGGGTGGGACTACTGCACCACAGGATGGTGCTTCGCAACAGGTACAGGAAGGCGAGCTTTGTGCGTAGGGCTGTGCTATCACACACTATACTTCTGGTGCGGTGTGATGACTACAACAAAGCCGCCAGCACCAACAACAGTACTACTCCAGCAAGCAACGGCAACACCGCCGTCGCCACCGACAAAATACCACAAGTCCGTACCTCAGCGACAAGTCTTCGTTCGTGAGCATCTGGCCCTCCTCTCCCAGCAGCTCGGCCGCCTCTCTGCCCTGCTCCCTCGCCTGCTGGAGGCGAACATTCCGAAAGATGGAGCTCTCGTGCACGATGCTCGCCACCAGATGGTCAGCCGCCAAGGACATCAGCGTCACTCTGAAGGCCAACACACGGCCAGAGCGAACGAGCGTATTTAGCCGGGGGGTAACGTGGTGAATGCGGGGTAGAAAAGGTTGCGCCCCGACTGTTGCTGTGCAGATGCCGTATGCACTCGCCAGGTCGCTTGATTTCTTGCGCGGTGCCTTGAATGTTTCGGCAGAGCTGAGAGACAAACCCAAGAGGTAGAGACGATCATGTAGCGCGACGGAAAACTGATTACTTCAATACCACATTGCTATTGTTGTGGCTGTTTTCAGTCACATATCCGCCAAAATGTGAGCCGTCAAGGAATAAAAACTTACTCACGATGACTCCGGACACACCGTCCCGCGGTCGGACCGAAGTGCTGATCGCGGCAGTATGAATGCGGACGGAGAAAGACTACAGCTCTAGGGCCGACACGTACATGCCTTTAGACTGACCAGATTTTGAATTTTCACTCCAAACAGCGAACGTTTTGTCGGAACAAGTTCCAACCGTGTTGTAGGGAAGCTCTTTTTGACATACATGTACAAGTCCAAGACATGAAGAGTATCACAGGGCATCGGATGCTCTTCTCGGGTGTACCCACCCCTTCCTTCAGAAAATCACGCATGTACCATCGATCCCACTCTCACATCTGGCTGTTGGAGGTGGTCAGCCCCCCCCTCTGCAGGTGGAACCTGGTGGCCTCTCCGGGCACGGTAGACCCGTACTCATCGACGGCCAGTATGAAGTCCCTTAGCTGCATCTCCTTCGCTCGTTTGTTGGCAGACGCGGCCATCGACCCCCTCGGTCTCTTCCCGGCGAGGCGGGGCGCTGCTGCGGCCTCGTTCTCTTGCGGCCCTTCCGATTGTCCCCCGCCCCCTCCTGCATCACCTCCCTCTCCTTCCGCTGCTCCTCCTTCTCCACTTACTCCTCCTTCTCCACTTGTTCTTCCTGGGGCTGTCGCTGGGACCGCAGCCGGTGGAGGCGCCGACCCGTTTCCAGGGTGCCCAGCCACAGCCTGCGCCGGCGGCGCGGCAGAGACGTGATGCCCCGCCACAGTCATCGCTGGCGGCGCGGCAGAGACTGTTCCAGGGTGTCCAGCCCCAGCCTGCGCGGGCGGCGGGGCAGAGACGTTTCCAGGGTGTCCAGCCACAGCTGTCGCCGGCGGCGCGGCAGAGACGTTTCCAGGGTGCCCAGTCACAGCCATCGCCGGCGGCGGCGGCGCAGAGCCGGCTCCAGGGTGTCCAGATACAGTCAGCGCCGGCGGCGGTGCTGCCTTTGGAGCTACCCCGTGCACAACAGGAGGGGCGACCGTGGCCATAGGCTGAGCGGCCACCGCTGGTGCCACCTGGCGAGGTGCCCCATAAGCGGGGTGCTGAACGCTTGCAGGGAGGTGAACGGGAGCCGGCGCCGGCGCCGGCGCCGCCGTCACCGCCGCTACAGGCGGCGCCACAGCAGCAGCACCGTGCGCCGCATGCGTAGAGGTTGCCGGACTTTCGCCGGTTCCCGCCGCCGCTGCAGCTGCCGCCGCCACCGCTGCCGCCGCCACCACACCCGTCCCTCCCGCACCATGCCCCCCTGCATTACCGGTATTTTGTAAACCCTCTGGTGCCCCTGCTTGTCCTCCTTCTTTCCCAGGCCAATGTACCGGGGCGCCTGGTTTTGGTATCGGTGGAGGGATAGGGGAGGTTGTATTTCTCGGTGCAGAAACAGATTCAAGCCCTGGGTGCTGACCAGCTGAATACGCTGCCGCTGCCGCCTGCTGCACCACCATGCCGTTAATACCAGGTCCTGGTGGTGGCGCCCCCATGCCAGGCGTCCCCTGTAGCATAGCCTGCTGTTGCCGCTGTTGCTGTTGCTGTTGCTGAGCTGGTGTAGGCAACCCGCCAGGTGTGAGTTGTTGTTCCATAACGCCGGCGCGAAGCGACAGCTCCGCCGCAAACAGCCAGCAAGGTCGGGCTGGAAGGTGAAAAACCCACAGCCGGGTTGGCGGGCGTGTTCAAGCTACTTTGTCTGCTTCGTGCGTCTCTCCTCTCCCGTAATGTGTCGCGAGCGTGTGCAAACAGTCCGCAGGACGGAGGACGCAGGACGTACGTGAACGGGGCACCGCGGGCGAAACACTATAAACGCCACTAGAATGTGGAGAAACCCCGAACAAGCAAGTTCCACCGCGTTTGTCCACAATATTCGGCGATGTTTCAAGGCTCCGGGGAGATCATTGTGGACATCCGGCTCAAGCGCAAGGACAGAACCTACAGGCCCACTGTGAGTTATCCCTCATTCCGCACTCCCTACGCCGAAATCGCCTGAAAACTGCCACTACATGCCGCTTGAAAATTGTCTCTCTTCCGCTGTTTTTCCTCCCAAATCAACACTTGATTCCATGAAAATGCATTCAAGTTCTTGAGCATGCCAGTGGGGACGGTCGGATCGAAACAATTGTCCATGAGCTGCTGCAGCAGTATTTCGGCGTTGGCGCACAGTTTTGTTGACGCTTTTACTCATCGACGCAAACTGAGGGAGTCCCCGAGGTCTGCTTTAGTGGAGGCCCTGTTGGTTGCCGAGGGCGCGGCTGTACCACCGTCCCGACCGACTAGGAACCGCGGCACTGCCTGTGCGCTGCACTGTCACGAGTGTGTACGTTGCCGGTGCCACACGTTGGCACTGTTGGCATCGACAGCTGTGCTGCACAGAGACCAACCGATAGACGGAGTTCCAGACAGATGGTCTACACAGCCTCCACAGCAAGCAATCGCGTGTCAAATTGATTACTCCGCGAAAGGATCGAACGAGTTCGTGAAACTACTGCTGGAAGTAGTTAATGTACGTATGTACGTGGTGAACAGCCTTTTTGCCAGCGGGCACGTGCTTCTTGTGTCCATGCCTCGCCAGGCACACTACTGGGTTGGGGTTGTACGGCAGCCATCCTCGCGTTTTGCATATTGCACTGCTGTATAGTTCAGAATTCTCTCCCGTTATCATGCGATGCATATGTACCTGGTGCTTCTACAGCAATAGGAAGGCATCGCCGATATGTGGAGGTAGCGGGCTGACCAATCGCACCGCTCATCTTGAGGAAAATAGTTCTTAGATGGGGTTGCGGTATACAATAGGAAGATAGCATACTAACACCATCGAAAACTCCTTTGCGCTTGTAGTAGGCGTGATATTGTAGGTGCCTGCCAAACGATTGCCAAGCGATATCACGGGCCTTCACAAGAGTACCCACTGGCGTATCGTATGCCAGGACCGTCGCTCTGTGCTGCTGCTCAATAGCTACGGACTGCCCACGCAGGATTTTAAAAGTATGCAGGGTTTTAAAAGTATCTAGAAAAAAAACAGGGAGGGGGCACGCAGACCCTATCCCTAACCCTAACCCCAAAGCACGGATTGAATGCTTCATCCCATATGTTTGCTTAATCAATTTTGCTGCGTAGACTTGTTCAGAGACGCAGGTACACTGTTGGGTGTAAGCCTTGTACAGGAGTCGAACGATGACTGTGTGTTCTGGGATACACACGAAGGGAAATGAGCGTGAGAAACAAATCTCAACCTTGTTGGCATTGTCACTCACGCCTTGCGATTGTTGTCGGCAACGGCAGGAAGGGCATCATCCCCTCTTGGTGGTCGATCTACGGTTAAATTATATAGCACTTTGACCTAGTCAAAACCTACAAGGCCTTGTAGTCAAATTAAAGAGATATCCGACTGTGTTTCTATTTATTTTGTTTCTCGAACGACCAGTCTTCGTGACTGCATGTATCCCTAAAACAATCCGTGCGCCGTCTCTTGCTTTCTGCGGATGCAAAAAATCATTCCACACAGGACATCTTGGAAGGCACCCTCGTGGTGAACACTCCAGAAGCATGGGACTGCAAGTCCGTCAATATCAGGTTAGAAGAAAGGATTGTCGTCCGACCGGCGCTTCGGCCGTATCACCTGTCTATTTCATTGCGAGAAATCGCGTACAAACCCTCGAGGTACCGATTCCCACACGATGACAAGCATCCATTTCTTTCATGAACGGCGAACGCACGGGGAGCCTGCCTCCATAAATGTACCCCCCACCCCCCCCGCGCGCTATTTAGCGTCGGTGAGCCGGCAAAAGAACTGAAAGGAACCACAACCTCCGCCGGACACTCGGATTGGGAAGGCCGAGTATTCCGTATACCTTCCTGAAAAAACACGAAAAACAAGTGGCCACGGTCCAGTTGCCGTAGAGATCATGAGGATGGTGAAGAAGCTTGCAGGATGGAAGCAGAAACTGTGGAAGGGAGACAAGTTGGAGCTGCTGCTGTTTGGGATTCCAAGGGACATGACGAGGATAGAGTTCAAGAACTGTTGTGACAGGGAGGGACTGCACTGCCTAGCAAGGGGACAAGTAGGCAGA